AAAAAAAAAAAAAAAAAAAACCAGCATCATCAAAATCGTAGTATCATCGTTGTTTTGGAATTTTTATAAATTGTCTAGTTTATTCAACCATCTACTGTGGACATATTTCCATGTCGAATAATAGCTAATTATATAAAATAATCCTAGCTTATTTCGCTAAATGCTTATCGACAAATATTAAGGTATTATGACTTTTTATAGAATGTAAGCAATGATATTTATTTAATAAGCACCTTGGCTCACTTGTGAATCACTTTGTGATTTTTGCACAAATAATTATTCCCTTAGTGCGTTTTCTTGGAACCAAGATTTGGGGGTCAAAAATGAAATACATTTAAATTTACTCTCACAACAGTCTGTGAGAAAGGTTGCTTTCAATCATTTTAACTATCACTGGGCTATTGTCAAACTTTTGAGTAATCTATGATGGAATAAGATAACATTTGTATATCATATTAATTTTAATCTGAGTCTGATTTTTAGTGAGGTTGAACATCTTTCACATTCTTGGAAGCAACTATTACTTCTTGGGAAGTTTCTGTTTCTGCCTTTGGCCACTTTTTTTTTTTTTTTTTTTTTTTTTTTTTTTTTTTTTTTTTTTTTTTTGTCTATTCCGTTGTTTGTTTTCTTACAATGAACTGGAAGAACACTGTATAACAAGGATATCATCCATTGTCTCACATTTTTTGCTAATGGTTTTTCTTCCAGTTTCACATTTATCTTTTAGTTTTTAGATATACTTGCCATCAGATATGCATTCTGATTAGTGGTCTGCTCAGTCTTCCACAGAAAAATTAGAATGTGATTTACCCAATGTTTTTCCCTAGAACTTTAATAGTTTAATTATCCCCTTTATATCTCAAACCCCTCTGATTCTTCTCTTTGCATAGATTTAGACACACACACACTTCAGATTGTTTTTCAGTGGCCATGCACCTGTCCCAAACCCATCTTTTCCTCCAAGAGGAGATGCTACCTTTGCTGTGCTACAGTCATTTATCTTGAGAGAGTTTTGGACTCTCAGTTGTGTTTCATTGATCTAGCCATCTATTCCTAGATCACACTCTTGGAACTAGTGTCATTTTATGTCATAAAAGAGCTAATCCACAAACAAAAGCAAATGAACAAACAAAAGAGCACCATTGTAGGGTTTATAATAATTAATTTCTAAAAACCTTCCTGCTACAAGTAATCTGTTGCTATTTACATTGTTTGAATGAATACAAAATGTGAAATTCTCATGGTCATTTCTTATGATGTCGTTTCAATATCACATGCTCCCATAGCAGAAGATTACCACATAGCAAACTCACATGAGCACACATGTGCAAATCTTAAATAAAGCATTATAAATAAAATATGGCAGGACATTAAAGAAATACTACACCTTACAAAGTGGGATTTATCCCAGAAGTGGAGGTTGTTTAACATTTGGAAATGTGTTTATGTTACTCATCAAATGACTAGGTCAAAGGATTCTATTCTTCAGATAGATGCCTTAAAAGGCATCTCACTCTTATTTTCTGTAAACATAATAAAACCCTAGGAAAATATATATAGGACTTATATGAAGAAAACATAAAAGTCCACTTCTCCATTTCCTCTCTGTAAAGGGGTGAATATTGGTACCTCCCACATACAACAGTTCTGCTTCAAGCTGAAGCCAGGCAATGCATGCAAAACTCTTAGAACAGTGCCTGGAACCAAGTAAATATGCAAGAAATATTAGCCATTGACAATTAATACTATTGAAGAACATCAAAGAAGGCTTGACATGGGTAGATAGAGGTGTTCTTGGAAAGAAAAGACAACACTTCAGAAATATTGGTTCTACATGAATTAAACTAGGCATGGAATGAAGTCTTAGTCCCAGTGCACTTTTTTTCTTTCAAATGTGCATAACTGGTTCAAAATTTTATTAGGTTATCAAAAAATGGTTGTTAACAGGGGTGCCTGGGTGGCTCAGTCGGTTAAGCATCCGACTTCGGCTCAGGTCATGATCTCACGGTTCATGGGTTCGAGCCCCGCGTCAGGATCTGTGCTGACATCTCGGAGCCTGGAGCCTGCTTCAGATTCTGTGTCTCCCTCTCTCTGTGGTCCTCCCCTGCTCACACGCTGTCTCTCTCTCAAAAATAAATACTAAAGATTAAAAAAAAAATTTTTTTAAATAGTTGTTCACCTAGAGATATGAGAAGAGTAAGTAATGAAGTCAAACTTATTTTTTTATTTCATTAAGTTTTTAATTTTAATTCCAGTATAACTAACATACACTATTATTAGTTTCAAGTGCATGATATAGTGATTCAATAAGTCTGTACATGACTCAGTGCTCTTTAAGATATGTGTACTCTTAATCCTTTTCACCTTTTTCACCCTTCTTCCACCCACCTCCCTTCTGGTACCCATCAGTTTGTTCTCTATAACTAAGAGTCTGCTTCTTGGTTTCTCTCTCTTTTTTTCCTTTGTTAATTTGTTTTGTTTCTCAATTTCCACACACGAGTGAATCATAAAGGATTTGAATATTCCATTGCGTGTATATACACCACATCTTCTTTATCCATTCATCAATCGATGGTCACTTGGGCTGCTTCCATAGTTTGGCTATTGTAAATAACGTTGCAGTAAACATAGGGGTGTGTACATCCTTTCAAAGTGGCACTTATTTGATCACTTATCCCTAATAAGTTTTCAAGAATTATAATAATCAGGGTTAGACTGAGATAGTTCTTAATGTGTCTCCGGGCACAATTATTTGAATCCACATTCTCCCCAAATTTGAAGTCTTTCTGCACCTGGACAAGTCAAGGAATGGCCAGAGGGCCTCTAGGGGAGAACACGGAGGGAGTGTTGGCATCCAGCAGGCAGTCCCTGACTAACCAGGCTGTGACTTGGGGAGCATTTGCCTTCCTCACTGTCCCCTGCTCTCCAGTGTTGGAGCATTCCTTACTCTAAATGTCTGGGGGCTCCACATACTCTTGCAATGCTCTTTTTCAAGGAGCTGAGGTTCACTTGGTGTTATAAGCAGAGATGGCCTTCCTAGACACCCCTCCTCTGCTCTGAGACAGCTTACAATCCATGTGGATTGGGAAAAAATGAAGACGGTGGTATTGACTGCATAACTCTGTGAATGTACTTAATGCCACAGAACTGGATGCTTCAAAATGGTTACAATGGGGGGGAAAAGATTAAAATGGTAAATTGTAAAGTACCATTATTAATTAAACAGAATTAAAACAAAACCATGAGGAGAGGCAAGAGAGGGGGCTATACCCCAGATCCGGGTCTCTAAAGAGCACACATTGTATGAGGTAGTCCAGTGTCAACCCCTGGGTATCAGGCTCTGCCTTGCCCTATGCAGAAGCACTGTTCTGCTTCTCCTTCACCTTGCCCCCGGGTGCCCAAGTCCAAATGTTAAAATGCAAGATAAAATAACAGATACGCAGATTTTGCTGCAAGGTCTCCATTGATCTCTCCCTGGAACTGCCGGCCTGAGTGCTGACCTGCGGGAGGTTGTGCAGTTGGGACAGAGCCCAGCCCCCACTCTTCCTCCTTCCTCTTCCACTTTCAGCTGCCCTCTTCCTCCCCTTTTGGACAGATCTACTGACTTGAGATGAGTGGAATCTTGCCAAGTCACCTGCTCAAAACCCTTCTGAGTGCTTGGAACCCACTTTTCTTTTTTTTTTTTTTTTTTCAACATTTATTTACTTTTGAGACAGAGAGAGACAGAGCATGAATGGGGAAGAGTCAGAGAGAGGGAGACACAGAATCTGAAACAGGCTCCAGGCTCTGAGCTGTCAGCACAGAGCCCGACGCGGGGCTCGAATTCACGGACCGCGAGATCATGACCTGAGCCGAAGTCGGCCGCTTAACCGACTGAGCCACCCAGGCACCCCGGAACCCACTTTTCAATAAGCAGAGGTGGTCAGGAAGCATCGGCTATGATCTTTGGGCCGAGGGGAGCATACACGCAGAAGGAGGGGTTGGAAACCAGGACAGGGCAGAGGAAAGTGAGCCAAAGAACTGCTCTTGAGGGCAGAAGCATCCAGGCCATTGTTTTCTTAAGTAATATTCCAAGCAGCAAAGAATCAAGAGGAACTCGTGTTCCAGGCCAGATGGTAGAGCACAAATTAAAGGGAAGTAATAAAAAAAATTGACAAATACACTTAACTAATTTTTTTTTTTTTTTTAATTCAAAGCAGTTGATTCCTGTCCCCTATCCCCCTCAACTTCCAGGCTACCTTCTCAGGATAATTCAATCACATTTAGAAAAACATCAATTGAACTGGTTTTTTTAAATTTTTCTGATGACTAAATACCTTTTGTCATGTGTAAACCTCTGAGCATATTACTGTGGGGTTCTTCTTTTGTGTTGTGTTTTGTTTTTTTAGGAGGGAATGGAGAGTGGGGCAAAGAACCCTGCTTTCAGATTTAAAGTTCTTAAAATACTTAGAGTCTCGAGAGAACATTTAAAGGAAAGACAAGTTTATAAGGTTACAACTTGAGGAAATGAGAATCAACGAGATTTGTGAAAAATACTCCCTTGAAGATGGGTGCACAGGGAAATAGGGAAAAGGCAATGTCCTAGGCATCGAGGAGGCCCTTCGGAAGGTCATCTGAGAGGGGATGTCATGTAGATACCCAATGGCTTCCCTCCGCTCTTGGTGTACCCTTCCGACCCGCATAGGGCATGTATCAGGGAGCCAGGCACAGCCTGGCAGAGAGCAGATGCACAGTGGGACAGACTCTGTGCACACTGCAGTCCCATCTTCTTCACTGTGTGATACTGAAAGTCATTTAACATCTCGAAACCTCAGCCGCTTTACCTCTGAAATAAGGATGCTAAATTCACTCATCTCCAATGAATACGATAAGGACTAAATGGCACAACAGATGTAAAGTGGTTAGCACAATGACAGGTGCATGATGAGTTCTCAATACATGGACATTCCTACCACTGTCGTTGCTGTCACGTGCCAGTGGAAATCTGTGCACCCTTTTACCTCTCTTGAAAGGAGGACATCTAATCACTCTTGTTTTGCCACACATGACTCTCTGCTGTGGCTCTCTCCTCTCCCTGTTCCATGATTGGCTATTTCAAGGTCAAAGGGATGAAACTCAGATCTCATGCTTTCTGGTAAGCACTGATTAAAAAACAAACCAACCGTTTAGAAGCTCATGGGTGACTCAGTTGGTTAGGTGGCTGTCTCTTGGTTTGGGCTCAGATCATAATCTCATGGTTCATGAGTTTGAGCCTCCGTGCTGACAGTGCAGAGCCTGGTTGGGATTCTCTCTCTCCCTGCCCCTGCCCCTGCTCGATCTCTCACTCTCTCTCTCTCTAGAAATAAATAAATAAACTTAAAAAAAATTTTCATATCATTGTTAGCCATGGAACCTTCGGTTTAGTGTTGGTCTTTGACAGTGCAATGCATCTTTGCGCCTACTGGCCGCTTGATCTGCTTTTGTAAAAAAAAAAAAAAAAAAAAAAAAAAAAAACTCTCTTACTTACCTGCAGGAGTCTAGCCCGATACACAGGTTTCCAGGCATTTCTATTTATTTATAACACGGCCCACAACAGGGCTTCTATTGGGTGCCCTCCTTGGGGCAGAGAAGATCAGCCAGGTGAATGTAAGAGTTAGAACATCAGGAAGGACTCTTCTTCACTCTGAGTTCTTGCCATGCAGATATGAAGTCTTCTCTCGGATCTTAAGTTGTGTTCTTTCCTCCTCTTGTCATATTTTCCTAGACAATGACAGCAGCGATTCAGAACTCCCATCCATCATGTTCAAAGCACACTCTCGAGCAGGGATACTTCAGGAAAGACGGCTGACGCAAGAGATAATCCCAATGAAGAGCTTACCCAGAGGAGGGAAACCATCCCACTTCGGTTATCAGAGAAACACCAGCCAAGAAGAGCATGATGGCAGGGGCAGAAGGGAGGCGCTACGGCCCAAACCTCTGTTCCACGCGGTAGATGAGGAGTTTGAATCTGGAGAGGAGAGTGGAGAGGAGACCTCAGCAATCAGATCCAGATGGTCAGGGGAGCACAGACCCACTAGGCAACATCACAGGTCCCACAGTCCTTTGCTCCAAAGAAAATAGTTTCATCATCCACACAGTAGTCTCCATGTATTTCAAGAGTCCATTTTCCTATTGTTGTGGAAGAAGGAGTTTCAGAGTTACGAAGAGAGCTACTGAGTTTATTTTTTGGAGCCTATGAGCCATACATCTATAAGAGGCACGGAGATTTTTTTTGGAGAAAAACGTGGAACAAACTTGCAGGCTCTGCTGTATTCTTAGCTGGTGTACTTTGTAGATGAAGTCCCCAAGGGTGATAAATGTTAATCATCACAGGAATTATTACTAAAATTCCTAAAAGTCTGTGATCCATGAACTGTATTGTGATACAAGTATGATTGGTCAGTAATTCACCTTAACTGTATGCCTGTGCAGCTTATAATCAAGTTATAACTGGGAAAGGCCTGGGAAATCATCTGGCCCAACCCTCTGTGTTTACAAATAAGGACCTAAGGACACCTTTCCCAAGGTCATGTGGTGAGTTGCTGCTTTCACAAGCTGGTTGTCCTCCCTCCCAAGAGAATGTATTCAGTTTTGATTTTGATATGCACTATGCGATAATTATTTTTCTGGGGAAAGGTAAAATTTGCCATAACAATGCTATATTTAATCAGTAGCAATAATAGACAGATGTGATATGTAGTAGTGGATTAATTTGTGAACAATGGGCTTGTAATCTATTTTATAACTGGAATATTTATTTTAAAAACAAAATAGCCATAAACAGGATGTAATAGCAATGACACGAACAACAGGTATTTATTAAATGTGCATTTGTAGGCTGCGGTACTGTGCCCTAGATTTTGAAACTCTTTCCCAGTTTAATTTCCATCAGGAAATTAAATCATTCCCCCAGACTTGACCTTGAACCTCTCACACTCCAGCTCACTGACTTTGCTAGATGACTTTATCTTTCTTCCCTTCTTGCCCTCTCTTCCTCTTTTCTCTCTGGTGGCCACCGATAGATGAACACATATTTATTAAGTGCTATTTATTGTGCCAAGTGGCTGATCTATAACAATTAACCATAATATCCTTTATCATTACTATTTTTGACTTCTCTAGCCATCCCCAACTGATTCAATCCCATGCATCTTTAAAGGTTGTTTTCCAATGCACCTGGCTGCCTAGACCGGCTTTGATCCCCTTAATCAGAAGCAATGAAGTGATCCCCTTCCTGCTGGCTGTGCCCACACCGCACTGGGTGTGTCACAGAACTTATCTGGTAATTACACTTATACACGTGTGTGTAACTACCCAGGTCTGCAGGACAGGGAGGATAGTCTGTCCATTTTAAACTTTATCCATTCATCAGTTGTGTTTCTTATCTCTTGGCCTTACCCTTTTTCAAGTTTTGTTTTTTGTTTTTTGCGGTTTTTTTTTTTTTTTTTTTTTTTTTTTTTTTTTTTTTTTTTTTTTTTTTTTTTTTTTTTTTTTTTTTTTTTTAGCTTTTATCCATTTTTTGTCTCAGTTGTTACAGTGCCTTGTTCATGGTAGATCATCTATAAATGTTGGGGCAACAGTGCCCTTTTTTTACAGCTGAAAAGGAGGTCGGAGAAGATATGGTCAGACGTTCTTATTTTCCAGGTTACAAAGATGAAGTGTTGAGAAACTGGCTGGTGCCGCTTCAGGGGTTTAAAGGGTGTGGGCTTATTCTCTAGTGTAATCCGTGGACACCATTGCCTGACAAAGGATATACGGCCTTCCCTGGACTTATAGTTTGTGAAGAGCATTTAACTGCCAGTGGTCACTGCTGTAGTGGTAGAAATGCCATTCAAAAGAGCCCACTTGTTTCTCCTTTTCTGAATCTGAAATATAAGCCTGCTTCTAAGTTGTCTCAATGTTTTAAATTATCTACTACCAGATAGTAGTAATCCGCCCAAAGGGACAGAAGTATTTATAAAAACTCAGGGATCTCTGGGTTTGGTTTTTTGTTTCTTGTTTTTGTTTTTCGTTTTTGTTTTCCCATTATTGCTTAAACAAACAAGCAGGCAAAGCAACGGAAAAACCTTATGACCCATGAGAGGGAGTCATGGAGTCGTTATCCTCACACTATAGATGAAGATACAGTGACAGAACGGTGGCGTCAGAAATCACCTTTACAAAGCCATATGCAAAGCCAATTCCTGCGAGGTAGAGAACACTGTATTCCTTGCTGGATTCTCCATATAACAAAAGAAATCCAAACTGTGAAGGCCCCTTCCCAGAGCAGACAGCAAAGTCTAAGGATTAGTGGAATTTATCTGATTCTTCCGTTTTTCTCTGAGATGCTGGTGCCCTGTGGGAGAGGGATGGTGGGACTTAGTGAATAGAAGGGAATTTGCCCTTTTAATTGGTAGAAGCCAAAATGAGTCATTTGCCCCGAGGCCGTCAGTTCATCTAGACAGCGTCTGGCCCTCGCTGCCTGAGTCTAGAAATTGGCCCTGGAACGCCTTCCCGAAACGTATGGTAGGTTGAGGGCCCTTGTGGTCCTGGTGGCTCTGGTAGCTTGGAGAGCTCATGGTGGACATGGCCTCTTTGCTTAGTCACCCAGGATCGTTTCAAAATGCAGTGTGATCTGATCTTCATTTCCTGGCGACAGCCCACGCTGGGGTTTGGTTGAGCGTGTGATAGGTGCCCCAAGAATGCTCTTGGGTATCAGTTTCACATCATGAGTTTTTCCAACAGGCACCAAGCCGTGCAGCAGAGAAAGTTCCCTCTGGAGTGCTGAGGGAGCTCTGCTGCTTACTCCCGACTCAGCTCGGGGAGAGGTTGGAGTCCCTCAGAGGGGCTCTCCTGGGCCTGGCCGCTGGTCCACTGAGCCTCGCAGTTTGCCCTCTTATCTTCAACCTCGGAGAAGCCAACACACAACCCCAGAATCCTATTTTCCCTCCATAAGTTTTTTTTTTTTTTCTTTTTTTTTCTTACTTTCTCAAACCTGCTCCTATTGTGTGCCTCAGTGGTCTTTAGGTTTCAGTAACTTCCGAAATAGGGTAAAGTCGCATTTCCTTTCATGTATCCTATATGGCAGCTTTCTACCTGAAAGGTTTTCCACATGTTTGCTGGTGTTTGGGATGTGGCAGATATGTTTATTCACCCTGTCCAAACCTGACATGATGCCATGGGACCTCCCCGGTCTTTATCAGCCTCCTACCAGAGAAACAAACATTGGCTGTAGATGGGAATGCGCCATGGTCGAGTAGTGATGACATTCCAGACACTTTGTCGTGCTTCCCCGCATGCTTTTGCCTCTCTTTCGTGAAGGCCATATACTTTTGTGCTTCTCTTCTTAGAAAAAGTTAAAGGGTCATGGGAAGTAGGTCTGGAAATGCCACCGGAATTCAGTGATAGAATTATCATTCCTATATGTAAGAAGTGACTACTACTGCTCGGCTCTTTAGCCTACCATTTTGGTTTCAGCCTGCAGGGAAGCTTCTAGAACACTTCCTTGCCTATCTGGATGCCTGCCACCACTGAGATCATTTCGATTTTTAAATCAGTGTAGTTCAGAGCTCAGGCTCTGAAGTCAGACCACTTTTAGCTGTGGGGCTGTGGGCAGCCTGGTTATCTTCCCTAAGCTGAAATGTACTGATTGATAAATAAGGTGATAATCTTATCTACCTCAGAGAATGATCATGAGGATCAAATGAGATAGTAAAAAAAGAGGGTCAAATGAGATTTGTAAAATTCTTAGCTTAGTGCTTGTTTTGTAGGAAGAGCTTGATCACTAACAGCTATGCTAATTTAGGCCAAAATGTATGTACTCGTGACAGGGGACATACATTCAATTAATTACATAAAGAGGTATAAATAATGGACACCTGAGACTTTTCTGAGAAGTAGTTTGAATGACATTATAGAGGATATTTGGGGCTATCCATCAATCAAGAGCAAAACCAGAGATCAGATCTGGATATGGATTCATGGTTTTCCGGCAAAGCTTATTGAATTTTTTTGTCATTACCTCAAAATTATTGTGTTTTCTTGTCTGGAGGATGGTTACCATGGTGTCCAATCCAAATCGCGGTTTATCCTCAAAGAGACAGTGAATTTAGAAGACCTACCTCTGTTTATCATGACAGGCACCCTGTGCAAAAAGGGAAAATTGCTCTTTGTCGGGGAAACATTCAGTGCGGTTTAATTCCTCAGCTTGGAGTCTTTTCCATAAGAGACCTCCTCTCCAAAGGAGTGATTATTTGAACTTATAAATATTAACTAGTTAAATAAGTGTTTAAGGATTTTCAGCATGGAAAAAAGTAGTTTCTATTACGTTTGATAACTTTCTGAAATTAGGGAGAGTAGTTGTTTTGTTTTTCTCTTTATAAATAAAGTCAGTGAGTGTGTTGGTGTTATCTAGAATTTTTGCAAATATATTTCATGTATGAGTAATACAGGTGGTTTCTTGTAGTTTTAATTTTTTTTTTTTTTTTCATGACTAAACTCTGTCAAGTATCCTATTTGTAACTCCTCCTGAGAAAAGCCAGTAGTGCAGACAGAAAGCTTCCTTTTAGGACATCAGTCACTGCTAATTGTTAATTGGGCCATAAGCCGAGGGGAATAAAAGAGATGCCTGGATCAGCGCTAGTCACTTCTGTAATTAACAAGTGATATGTTGTTTCTCTGCGCACGATATTTGATTGAATAAATTCTTTTTCTTTCTGAGAGTCTAACCAGCTTCTGAGCCCAGGGTGCTCAAAGTGAGTATGATGGGTTTGAAATCGAAATTTCCATTGCCCAGCCTTCTTCTGGTTAGGGCTTATTCAACAAAGTAATCGGAGCCACGTTGTAAACTGAACCAAGACAGTCACTACTCTGTTTCCAGACATAGTGATATAGATCTTGAATTAAAATGGGTGGTCCTAAAATCAAGGTATATACCCTGTGTTCTAAGAGATCAGTCTTGAATAGAACAGTAATAATAGCCTATATTCATAGAGGGCAGTATTCAAAGTACTTTACCTACGTGGATGCAGTGTCGTCCCATCTTAAAACAAGGTTCAGAGAGATAGAGTAACAGGTCCAAGGTCTCCCTGCTTCCAACAAAG